TCAGACACCACTGAGTCAAGCACGCGGGTCAGAAGCAGGGGGCTCAGCCTTTCTTTCTATTCACTGTCCATAGGTCTGTCTCCAAGCAAGGACAGCAGGGCACTGTCGCACTCCAGAGCTTTAGGGACATTTGGCGACAGGAGCACACATGCCCTGAAATGGAGCATCTCAGGTGCTAGGAGAGCAGTGTGGGAGGAAAGTTCGGCAGGTGCTGCTTCTGGATAAGCAGAAAGGCAGGGTGCAGAAGGGAGCCAACGTTGTATTTATACTGCATAAAATACATAGAACTCTCACAGTAACCCCGTAAGATATACAGTATTACCCTGAGGAAACTGAGACCCAGAGAGGTTGATCAGCTCACCCCAAGGCCCACAGCTCATTAGTGTCAGAGTGAGTGGGACTTTGAACCTAGTTTAGTTTGGTGACTTCAAAGCCATTATATAGTGCTCCTCTCGTGGTAAATAATCTACTACAGAATGGGCTATCTAATACCCTTAGTTTATTCTCAAAACAGCAGTAACAAAACAAACACTTTAAAAATTTCTGAGTATCACTCCAATTATAAATCCAGTATGAGGGGTAGAGGATGATAAGTGGCTAAGATGGAAGACTATATTTCTTCCCTTGGAGAAAGTAAAGGTTCCTGCAGGCTAAGATAAAATCCTATGAGCACAGATCAGCTCATATACAGAGTAAAGAAGGAGCATTTAAATGACTTCTCACACCAGTTATACTATGTGACCCTCCGGAGGGATCACGCACAAGGTGAACAGAGCTCTGTGCTATAGATTCAGTTATAATTTTTTCTTCTTTATTGTTGTTTAAAAAAAACAGGTTATTAATTGTGAAAAAGAAGATGCTTTATTTGAAGATGCTATTCTGGACAAAAATATTTCTCTCCTTCTACCCCGCATCTCTCTCTCTCTCTCTTTTTCTCTCCCTTTCCCCTCATCCCTCCCCTCCCCATCTCCCTCCCTCACCTACTGGACTGTAAAGTCCATGAGGGCAACTACTGTGATTTCATCTTATTCATTGTTGCGCCTAGTGCCAAGACTAATACAGAGTATACAGTCAAATTAAGCAGTGATGTGGACTTCCCTGGTGGCCCAGTGGTAAAAAATCTGCCCACCAATACAGGAGACGTGGGTTCAATCCCTGGATCAGGAAAATCCTCTGGAAAAGAGAATGGCGACCCACTCCAGTATTCTTGCCTGGGAGATCCCATGGACAGAGGAGGCTGAAAGGCTACAGTCCATGGGGTCACAAAAGAGTTGGTGCCAGAATCCCAGGGTCTTAAGCTTTTAAACTGTGATGTGAGCATGGTCATTCAGGCCCCATAACAGATCTCTTTCAGGATAATGAGAAAAGATGTTATCGGTCAGGGCTTCTGATCTTTTCCCCAAGTCAGCTCCTCTTATCTTATAGTAAGGGACCTGGCTACTTGAAAGGAACTTAAATTTATTTATAATTTCATTATACTTAGTTTTGGGAGGTTGTTGACCCCTTTTTTAGTATAATGAAAATTATGGCCTCTGACCGACAAGTAACACACAGACAAAATTTTGTATACAATTTCAGTAGGTTCATGAACCCTCTAAACTATGCATCTCAAGTTAAGAATGCCAAAAAGTGAGCCGCGGTTTAAGGGAAGGGCACATGCTGATGCTAGATCTCTCATATTTGAAGGAAAATAGACAAAAGAACATTGAGCTTGCTTTGGGTATAATACTAGAGGGGAGACTATGGCGCCAATTCCAACCGTGCTTGATTCTGCCAAGACACTCTCGTGAAAGACCCTTTGTTCCCTTTGGGACAGATGCCACCAAACACTGCTCCTCAGTGACGGTTCACTGACCAGCCCCTCCAAGCATGCTCCCTTCCTCCCAAGGCTGGACAACGGGCAGAAAGAGGGAATAGAATAGGGCAAATGGAATAGGGCAGACTTTGGATAGTGAAGGTTGCTGGGTTGGATCTTTTGGCTCCAACACAAGAGTACACTTGCCTTAATTTCACATTCCGTGTCTTAAAATGCTTTCTCCCTTAGCAGCAGTTCTACAGGTCTGTTGTCAAGGGTATTTTCCCTTACAGTCTTTCCCAAGTGGATGCAAAACAGCCCCGATTTTATATAGACATAGATAATCCTTTGTGGGGTGAAAAAAAAAAACCCAAATTTCTAGCTGGGAGCTAAGGCACCCCAGGCCTTTCCTCTTCATAACTCCTGTCTTGACCAGAGGAAGGAGATTTCCCCTCTCTTCCAAGTACCCTAGCCTGACTCTGTGAGACTTTCTCCAGCCAAAACTAATCCCTAAGTCTCAAGGACACAGACCTTACTCTGTGGCTGAGGATTTTATGTCTCTCAGAGCTTCACTTTCCTCATTTGCCAAAGGGGGAACATAATAATATTAATAGTAGTCCCTACATCCTGGGATTGATGTGAGGGGTAATGGAAAGAATGGGCGAGGAGCGCTTAGCTTGGTGCCCCGGCACACTTGATCAGGCTGACTCTTACTATTTTCAGGATGTTGCTGTTGTTCAGTCACTGAGTCATGTCTGACTCTCGCGACCCCATGACCTGCTGCACACCAGGCTTCCCAGTCTTTCACTATTTCCCAGAGTTTGCTCAGAGTCATGTCCATTGAGACGATGATGCCATCCAACCCTTTCATCCTCTGTCGCCCCCTTCTCCTCATGCCCTCAGTCATTCCCAGCATCAGGGTCTTTTCCAGTGAGTCAGCTCTTCACATCCAGTGGCCACAGTACTAAAGCTTCAACTTCAGCATCAGTTCTTCCAGTTCTCCCAGTATTTAGGGTTGACTTTCTTTAGGATTGACTAGTTTGATCTCCTGCTGTCCAAGGGACTCTCAAGAGTCAGCTCTTCGCATCAGGTGGCCAAAGTATTGGAGTTTCAGCTTCAACATCAGTCCTTCCAATTAACACCCAGGACTGATCTCCTTCAGGATGGACTGGTTGGATCTCCTTGCAGTCCAGGGGACTCTCAAGAGTCTCCTCCAACCCCACAGTTCAAAAGCATCAATTCTTCGGCACTCAGCTTTCTTTATCGTCCAACTCTCACATCCATACATGACCACTGGAAAAACCATAGCCTTGACTAGATGGACCTTTGTTGACAAGGTAATGACTCTGCTTTTTAATATGCTGTCTAAGTTGGTCATAACTTTCCTTCCAAGGAGTAAGCGTCTTTTAATTGCAATTAATTTAATTGCAATCACCATCTGCAGTGATTTTGGAGCCCAGAAAAGCAAAGTCAGCCACTGTTTCCACTGTTTCCCCATCTATTAGACATGAAGTGACGGGACCAGATGCCATGATCTTAGTTTTCTGAATGTTGAGCTTTAAGCCAACTTTTTCACTCTCCTCTTTCACTTTCATCAAGAGGCTCTTTAGTTCCTCTCCAATTTCTGCCATAAGGGTGGTGTCATCTGCATATCTGAGGTTATTGATATTTCTCCCGGCAATCTTGATTCCAGCTTGTGCTTCCTCCAGCCCAGCGTTTCTCATGATGTACTCTGCATATAAGTTAAATAAGCAGGGTGACAATATACAACCTTGAGGTACTCCTTTGGAACCAGTCTGTTGTTCCATGTCCCGTTCTCCCTGTTGCTTCCTGACCTGCATACAGGTTTCTGAAGAGGCAGGTCGGGTGGTCTGGTATTCCCGTCTCTCAGAATTTTCCACAGATTTTCAGGGTAGTGACCCCTAGAAGTTGTGGAGGAGGAGAAACCAGGCAAGTTTGCTACCTCTGTCCTTCCAGGGCCTTACTGATGCTGCCTCTTTCTTGCCCTAGTACTTGTATCAACTGTGTTCTCTCCAAGGACCAAGCCAGCAATGCTCTAAGCCTGAGCAGCTGAGCTTCTAGCCGTGCTTCTGAGACTCACAACTCATTTGTGGCCCCTGACATACCACCAACACCCAAGATGCCCTGATCAAGGAGCTTTGAGTGACTGTCCGTTTCAGCATCTTCCTTCCCTCCCTTCCTGTTTTTATTTCTCACTCCCTTTTAGAAACAGCTGTTTATTGAACACTTCTGTGTGCACAGCACAGTACTAGTGCCAGATAAACAGTCGTCGATAAAATAGACAGTGCTGCTCCTCTTTTTATGCTCTGGCGGGGGTAGAGGGAAGCATAAATAGCAAACAAATGATTTATAGGATGTGATAAGGGCTATGAAAGAAATAAGATGAAGATGGACAGTGACCAAGGAGTCTGACTGAGAGAAAGGACCTTCTCTGAGACGGTGACACCTGAACCCCATGACTATCCCTGTGGCATGAATTGAAGCCTTGGTTTTACTCCAAGTGAGAAGTGCCACTGAGTGTGCAGAATGATAGCTTCTCTTTGCTTTTCTCTTGTAACAATAGGTGGCTTTAAGCTTTGCTTGTGTGCTCAGTTGCGTCCGACTCTTTGTGACCCCACAACTGTAGCCCGCCAGGCTCCTCTGTTCATGGGATTATCCAAGCAAGAATACAGGAGTGGGTTGCCATTTCCTCCTCCAGGGGATCTTCCCAGCCCAGGGGTTGAACCCGCATCTCCTGTGTTTCCTACATTGGCAGGCAGATTCTTTATCACTGAGCCACCTAGGGAGCCCTGGCTTTAAGGCTTAGGGGAAGTCAGACTCCCAATTTTTACCAGCTATTTATTTTGTCAAGTTAAAATTAAAAAAGACTATGACAAATCACTTGTTCCTTTAAATAGCTATTCACCTGTTGTGTACCAAGCACGGGTGTTTTACCTGTATTATCTCATTTATTCCCCCAGTAACCTGAGAAAGTAGGTATCATTATCATCATTATCTCTGCAGTCAAATAAAGAAATCAGAACATGGAGAGGTGCAGAAGCATGCCGCTGGCCACAGTGCCCCGCGGTGGTAGGGCTGGAATCCAGGGGGGCCTGATGGCAGAGCCTCTGCCTGCTGTCAGTAGACGAGGCAGGCCTCCCGTCTTGTGACGCCTCAGCTCACCTGGTTCTCCTTTCCTTTGTAGAGGCGCCAATGAAGAAGAGGACACATGAAGGCCCACCCTCCCCGGTAGACACCCCCCTCCCCTTGTGTGTGTGTGACAGCTTGTGTGCAACGGCTTCTGACCCCCGTGAAGGCTGCCCGTGCAAGCAACGTGCTTCCGCCAGATGCGTCCCCCAGACCCAGAGCAGGCACAGAGCTCTCCGAGGAATGGCCGGTTTCACTGTTACTGACCGTGCTGTTCATTCTCTCGTCGTGGTCGGAAGAGGACAAGTGTGCCTGTGCTCACCTGGGAGCAGTTACAGGGTCCTTCAGGTCATTCCCGCAACAGCTGCTTTGAACTTCCTCAGGAAAGCCAGCCCCTGTAATGGTGTGTACCCAGACAGTATCACTTCATTAAGAAGGATCTGAAATCATCCTGAAGGGCAGTCAGGATTTGTTTCCCTCCTTGCTAATAACCCCCCACTTTATTCATATCGAAGCATGGAATAAATGAGGGGGAAAGTAGGGCTGAATCAGCCCATGTAATTAGTCTCTACAAGTCCAATTATACATCTGTGAAAATGTGGTTTCATGAAATAAGATGGATGGCTTGAAAACCGACAGAGTTAAAAGTTAGAAATATATAAAGATATTTTTAGTACGCGAGGTTATCCTGGACTTCAGATTCATAATTCAATCCTGTGGAAATGAAAAAAAAAAAGATTGAAGAGGTAGAAAAGAAATGACTTTAAAAAAAGGGGGGGGGACCAAAAAGATCTGATTAAAAGTTGAAATCGAAGTTAATATTTCTGAACTTAAATTGCCTAGGTTTCCAAAATAGTCACTAAAGGATCTGATGGAACCTGAATTATTTGAGTGGATTCTGAGGTTTCCTGGGTCTCGTCACATCATGAAAGTCTGGAATGTGTGTCACAGTGGGAATTTGCACTGTAGGTTTTGCTCCCCTTCCCCTAGCTTAGCCTGATTTGGCTTCGGTGCAGTGTGGGGAGGATACTTGGCCCTCTGTGGTGTGTGAATTGAGCTCCACCCCCTGGCAGACGGACCTTCCTTTCCCTCCAGGGGAGGACCCCTCCGGCCCCGGCTCTCACCACCTCCAGGTCATCTCCCACCCCCTGCCTCTCCCCTCTTACACGCCTGAGTGGAGACTCACCGTGGTTGGACTCTGGCCTCTCCCCACTCCCAAATCACATTTCCTTACAGCCAAGCTTTTTACTCCCAAGTAAGCAGTGATGTCCTAGGGAACGCAAAGCTGTAAACTGAAAAGCATGCATCTTCTGCAGCAGCAGTTTTGACTTAACAAATGTTTTGGAGTCAGGGAATGATGTTATTTTCGGATAAATCAAACACAGTTACATTATGAAATAGAATGTTCATATATATAAACTGTAAAGATAAAACGGGAGACTTCACAGAGGACTTTTATTTGCAAGTGGGCTGTGTGTTCCCCCTCCTCTGTTGTTAGCGGTATTTGGGTGTTCACTTCTGACAAGTACAACTGGAACTGCAAACATCCAAGAGCCGTGGGGTTTCTGCTGACTCAGGACCCAGACTTCTAGTGCTTCTGAGGCAGAACCAAAGGAACCTGCATCGGGGGGATCTTCCTCTTTTCCTGCCTGCCTGCCTGTGACCTGTATACCTGTCAACAAAGCTTTAGGGCCCACTGATGTGTGTGTGCAGGATGGTTTTGAGGTAGAAACAATGCTTACTGTCGGAATCCTGTTTATATCACTGTTCAATCCTGTGCATGCTGCGAAATGACTATTTCTTTGACGCCGGAAGCTACCAGGCATATACGCTTCTCAGTTAAGAGTACCCCAGCTCACTAAATCATGAGGGACACGGGGGGCTGAGAGTAGTTTGGGCTGTTTTGTTTTTTTTTTAAAAAAAAACAAACTATTTTTTCTCTTAAACTGGTGGCCAACAAATGGTTGAGACATTTTCAGTGCTTTACCTTTCTACACAAAAACCTGGAGATTTTGGCATACCACTAATTACATCCCCCAACCACATCCAATGCAACTACCTTTAAAGGAAGACCAGTGGCCATTCTCAAAGAGAGTTTAAAAAATCAGAAGATTAAGAAGACTCTAGGATGTGGAAGCTTGTGTTGTCTTTCCCCAGTAATCACTGTTTAATCTCCAAGTGGTAGCCTTATAGCAATGGACAGCTTATTGGCTCCTCCATAACTGATCATAGGTTATTACTTTAAATCAGTATTTGGGAAACCCAGGCATTTATGCAATGGATATGAATGGAAATATAAAAATACATACCAGCCCTCTCAATAAATTATCATATCTCTATAATCCTCGAGGAAAGCACTTTGGCTTTTACCTAGAAAGGATTTCAGATTTGCTTTATGGGCTCCCGCTGTCTTCAGTACCTGATAAAACTTTAACCAGGGAAGCATTAAACACGGCACAGCAGCTTCTGCCCAGGCTCCTGAGTTCCTGCCGGCAGCATCTATCAACACAAGAGCTAGAATGCTTCCTGCAGCGGCACCAGCTTCCCCAAAGCTGGGGCAGGCTGCTTGGCCTTAAGCCCCAGCACGAGGAGGCCTCCTTCCTACCAGGTCAGTAGAGTTGCTCCAAATTGTGTCCTGCCTAGCTGCAGGGTTTGCAGACATCCCTTGCAGTCAGCAAGGAAGACAGGTAATGACTGTCTTCAGAATGAATTGGGTCCTCACAGCAATCCCTGGATGCCTTCCAAAGGTTGGGTATCCGAGGCTAAGAGGAGGTTTGAACTTTGATTTGGTGTCATTAAATCCAGGGCAATTCCAAGAAGTGCCTGGAGTCTCTGCTTTGACAGCCCAAAAAGGGAAATGAGTTGAAATACTGAGGACCCTGCACCAAGGCCCCATTTCCCAGATGATAATACAGATTTGTAGGTAAGAGTTAACTTGTCTTAAGTTACACAACTAGGAAGTATGGGAGCCAGATTTTTGTACCCAGCTCTTCCTAACTCTGCTGCTGCTGCTAAGTCGCTTCAGCCGTGTCCGATTCTGTGCGACCCCATAGAAGGCAGCCCACCAGGCTCCTCTGCCCCTGGGATTCTCCAGGCAAGAATACTGGAGTGGGTTGCCATTTCCTTCTTCAATGCATGCATGCATGCTAAGTTGCTTCAGTTGTGTCTGATTCGGTGTGACCCTATGGACAGCAGCCCTCCAGGCTCCTCTGTCCACAGGATTCTCCAGGCAACAGTACTGCAGTGGGTTGCCATTTCCTTCTCCCTTCCTAACTCTTATGTATCCCTAAAACACAGAAAAGGCTGTGGGTTCCCCTGCTACAGTCTGACCATTCCACTCTAAGGATTCTTTTTCACAGTGACATTTCGTGGCAGTAGTTTGGGCCCAGAAATGGCATCAGGGTAGCCTTATTCTTCCAGTTTAGCAGATACATTAAGTACATGTTGCTAACTTGAGCCTGCACCCAGGTATGGGAGGAGGCCTTTCCTTTTTGGTGCCATCTCTCATAAAGAAGGGGGAGTTGAAGCCATCTAGGGCAGTTACTGGGCTTCCCCAACGGCTCAACTGGTAAAGCACCTGCCTGCCAGTGTAGTAGATAGAAGAGATGCAGCTTCGATCCCTGGGTGGAAAAGATCTGGAGAAGGAAATGGCAACCCACTCTAATATTCCTGCCTGGAGAATCCCATGGACAGAGGAGTCTGGCGGGCTACAGTCCAGGCTCAGAGAGTCAGACACTACTGAGCATGCACGCAGCCCATAAGTAAAGCGTTTCTAGGCCTTTAGGAGTGTGGAACTTCTCAGAAATAGTGAAAGTGAGCAGTGTTATGCTCTCTATTTGAAAATGCCTGCTGCTGCAAAGGAAATCTTCATGTTCTAGTAAACCTAGTTAGTCTGTGCCCTGTGAGGATGTGACAATTCAAAGTCCAGTGAATATAGACGTTCCTGCAAATACCTGGTGTGTATATGTACACATACACACACACTCAGTTTAACAAGCAAGGGAACTGCAGAACAGTCCCCTCCTTATCCTACATACCACGGCAGAGGTTTCTGCCAGCTCTGGTCACAAGTGTCACCAGGTAATTGGAGCTTTGGTGCTTGCTCAAGAGATGCTTATAGGAAGAGCAGTGCCTTGGCAAAGGTCAGCTCCTAAAGCTGAGCCAAGGTGACTCCTGAAGGAATTTGCACTCCAGCCCTGTTCCAGGATGTCTAATGATACGGGAAATTTGGATACCCAGTCATTTCGGTGACCTGAGAGTCTGATCACTCCAGTCAGGCCTGAGGGCATGGCTGAAGAATTCATAACTGGTAAGAGTGGTAGGGCTTAGGAAGCTCTTTCCTCCACTTAGACAATATTCTCTTGCCCATACCTGAAATTGGCACACTCACATAGTAGCTGTTCAACACATGCTTTTCTATAAGAAAATCAGTTGCATGTTTACTGTGTGCCTAGCACATCTAAAATCTTCTGTTTAAAAAACAAATCAATCTCATTATGAGTGGACTCAGCCTAGCCCTAAGAGAAAAAAAGGCCTATAGAGGAGACTTCAGATCTCATTAATACTGCCTTACCCAACAGTGTGTTGGAAGTCCCACTCCAGCTCATTCCAAGAGCTGTAAGGCCCAAGAACACACCAGAAACAGCAGAACAGGTGCTAGAGCAGGAAAATAAAAATAAATTAATTGAAACACTTGTGGGTATAGTGGTACAAAAATGCCACAGGGCCAGGTCATATCATGCTGGGCTTGATAGGACCTTGAGGGGACAGTATATTTATACTTCATGGGAGTATCAGTGACCAGTCTCTCATACACTACATGGATGGGGAGAACCAACAAATCCATTGTCCTCTGCCTGTTTTCCTGCACACCGTCACATTCCCTCCTCAGTCATCTTCCCCTTTCACCCTTTACATTAAACAAGGGAACACTCAATCTTTTAAGGGAATTATACGTTTGAGTTAATGTTGCAGTATATCATTTTCATGCTGTAAATTATTTTGTAAGAGAGATTTACTGCTATCCCAGGATGTTTGGACTCGGCGCCCCTGTGCATTTGGAAATCAATAAACTATTCCTGGAAATACCATTTGTCTCTCAAAGAGTTTTGCACAAAGGACCCTGCTAGGTGTAAATATTCATGGTGATCTGCACTCTTAACCATGATCATGCCGCAGATGATGGTGTTTTGGTTATGAGAGATGGGATGCTCCTTCACCCTGACTTCTCTGGAGTGACTTAGGAGGTCTCTGGGAGTTGCAGAAGGACAGATTGAAAATCATAGTTATTTAAAGAGACGTTTTCTCCTCAAAGTGAAATGATCCATGCCTACATTAAATTTTTTGAGCAAAGTAGATTATAAAGTAAAGAATGCTTGGTCCTGAATGATGTTTTCAAATAATGTTAAAGCTTTACAATTTGGATCAGCCCAAGGGGGTGGTCAAACTTTAATCTTTACCATATTTCCTAGGGGGGGAAAAATGTTTTCATAGAGCAAATTACAGTTAGGCCAGCAAAATCATCTTTGGGAAATCTTAGAAGTACACATTTGATACAACTGATAAAGAGATAGAATTAAGTTATAAATGAAGCAGTTCTCATCTAGTTTGTAATACCAGGAGCCAAGGATGCATTAAAACCAAGAGGCAAAATGTGAAAACTCAAGGTAGTAGATACTGGATGAATTAGAAAGTACAAGTCCTACCTAAAAGTATTAAAAATCAATTTTTAAAAACCTACCAGGAAGGGTGTCTGGAGGAGCTGCAGTTTATGAGCCCTGCTCTAAAACAATTTTTTTTTTAAACAAATTTGTCCCCATTAAACCTCTTTAGTTAGCTGGGGGCTGTGTGAACTTTGGAGAAATTGTTCAAGTAAGGGTTCTAGAGCAAGTCAGTCACCCAAGGTCACCCGGTGAGCCAGGCCAGCAGACTCTCTGTCTCCTGGAGTAACCACTAGGCCCACTTCCTCCCATCTCTCGTAATCTCCCCCGCTGCCGAGGACACTTCTGCCTGGTGAGATAGGGCTGCCAAGCACTCTGGTACTTGGGGGTCTCGGTGTTCTAACAAACCACAGTGTGTTTGGAGGTTTTCTTCCCTGCTTCCTGGTGCCAGCAACTCAATACCACATCCCCCTGCCCCAGCCTTTTCTCATTTTATCATCTTTCCCTCTGAAAGCTACAACTCTTTATTTTGTCTCATTGATCTTTGCTTGGTCCAACTTACAGGTGGCCCCATTTCCTTCACACTCATAAAAGAGTGAAATTGCAGCTGGTTTGGACTATCTCCTGGCCTTAAAGAGACACCAGAGGTGGGTACACCCAGCTGAAAGTCAGGCTGCCAGTATTAGCAAGAAAAGATGATGTCACAGAAAAGGAAACAAAGTCAATAACTGGCTGAGCAGAGTGTCTGTACTAATTCCTTGTTCAATGTGAGTCTTCAGGCTAAAGCATTTATTTTGTTAAATAATAGCTACCATTTAGTGAGTTCTTTTTCCAGAGCAGGCACTGTCCTCATTGCTTTTTACATTATCTTATTTAATTCTCATCGCACTGATATTATTCTCTATTTTATTGCTCAGGCATCAGAGAGTTAAAAGCTATGCCCAAGGTCACACCCCGATAAATGAAAAGGTAGGATTTAAACCCAGATCTAGCTGACTTGGGCTTCCCTGGTGGTTCAGATGGTAACAAATCCGCCTGCAATACGGAAGACCTGGGTTCAGTCCCTGGGTCGGGAAGATCCCCTGGAGGAGGGCATGGCAACCCACTCCAGTATTCTTGCCTGGAGAATCCCATGGACAGAGGAGCCTGAGGGGCTGCTGTCCGTGGAGTTGCGAAGAGTCAGACACGACCGAGCGACTAAGCACAGCACAGGTGAACTGACAGAAAACCCCAGCTCTCAATCTCTCCTCTCCTAGCTGCACTGATTCTATCTTATGCTGGTGAACAACCTCACCCACGCACATCCTCCCCACAAACGCATGCAGTGTGGCCTTGGGGCCAAGGAATTTGTCTTTTTAGGCCTTGTTCTATACAGTTTGTGAAACACAGAATACAGTGAGGGAAGGAAGGCTAAAAACAGTGAAATCCTCTCTGGCCTGAAATTGCACTTCGGGAAGGAGGGAATTACTAGACTTGCATTATCTCCTTTCTTCCAAGGCCATAAATCATTAACTCACCAGCGGAGGCAAAGCCCTGGCTTCTTGGGCTTTAGTCTTAGAATCCCCAAAGTCAGCCATCTCTGGCACCTAGTCTGTCATTTAATTAAACATCTTGAAGGCGTCTCCAACAGCTTGACATCAGGCCAGCTTCATATTCTTGGAAAGGGACTGTAAAGGGAGCTTGTCTGTTTTATAGTTCATTTACTGAGTTGAGCCATCTTGGCCATAGCATACAATTTGCCTTACTGAAATGGCCCACAATCTTCACACCAGTTTAGGGAGTCAGTCACAACTCATTTTCCTAGAGCTCAGCTAGCTTCACCTATCCCTACTTCTTAAGCAAAACCCACACAAGTGGCTTGACAATGAGTAATTGAGGCAGAATTGGAAAGATCTGAAACCTTGACTGGACCCATTTAAAAATGACTGAGAACCAAGGAGCGAGTAAACAAGGTTTCTGATGAGTTGAAATAAATAGTATGAAGCAAACACATAAGAGAAAGGCCCTCTGTCTCCCCATAAAGCACCTACTCAGAACCTATTTATTCCTGTTTCACACATACTTGTAAATGTTTGCTGTCTGGTTTCCAGGCCTACAGCAGATTAAGGGCGGAAAACAGATATCTAGTGGAAACTTAAGTCAAGAACAAAAAAGAGCTGACAGCAATACAGAAGACAAAAAAAAAGTTTAATTAGACTGAAAAGCTCAAAAACCACTGTTCTAGGGTGGCATTTAGTGCCCAAAATAGCTCTTTACACATCTCAATTTCTAAACACTCATATCATAGGACCATATAATTATACTCAAAATGATGACCCTGAAACTAAATTATGCTCAGAAAAAGGCAAGAATTTCCATATCAAATTTTAGAAATATTTCTATTACAAATGGTACAGAAGAATGAAACAAATTTCCTTTTTAGGGGTTAAAGGAATAAATGTGGGACTATCCAGAACATTTACCGTAACAAAACAAAACATCCCCCTACCCGAGGTTTTATTGTTCCAGGAGCCTCTTGCGATTAGAGAGTTTCTTTTCATAGCTTTGTAAGTGACTTTCATGCTACAGTGCTTTGCATATAACGGCATGAACAATGGAAGTGCCAAGTTTCCAATGTGATGAGTAAAACTAATAACCAGAATACAGGTCAAATTCTGTTACAACAAATACTGCTACCATAAAA